AAAAAACGAAAAAAAAAAATTTGTTTCCGAAAAAGTCATTTTTTCATCAAAATTTAGTATTTGTTTGGCTTCGTTTTACATGAAAATTGTCCATGAAATTGAATTTTTTTTTTTTTTACAATTGGTTATAAAATTTGTTTCCATTGCCAAAAAAAAAAAAAATTACGTGCAGCAGTGGGAAAAGCTTTTCCCACCAAAAAGTTGGAAAAAGCTTTTCCCAAAATTATGGGGAAAACAGGCGTGAGTGCTGCCCCTAGAAAAAATTTTCTTGTCAAAAAAAACCTATCAAACACTACTAAAAGTGGAACCTAGAAAAACTCACCAATCAAATATGCCCTTAATAAAAGATAATTCAATAGATTACTACAAATGCATCTACACATTTTCATACTTTGAAACCATCGTGTATTTACATCGTTAAGTTGTGAAAAAACAATAAAAAATAAAATAAAAAACAAAAATGCAAAAATTTCCATAGGGTCAGCTGACCCTACTTTACTCATGTAAATCCCCCCTTGGATGTTAGAATATTTTTTAAATTGCGATGAGATTTATGGGATTACAATATTGACACCATATTTTCTTAGAAAGTGCACTATATAATTTTATTAAATGTCTTTAACTCTATTTATTGTCGTGCTTTTGTCTTCGACTGTTTTCCACAATATTCATATCTCCAACTTTCCATTAATAACATATCTTGTTCGTGATGATGGTTTCCATTCAAATATTCTATTTAGAGTATGTTGACAACAATAATAAACAATAATAATGTTGACATATAACATATTTAACTGATTAATTTATCGATTTAGATGGAACAAAGAGCATATGATCATTCTAAAGGAATAATAATGTTTTAGCTTCTGAAGTTGCTTTCTTTTTATTCAGATTCAAATATTGATGAAGATTTACAATTCAAAATAAGAAGATAGGTAGTATTGAATAATACTAATTAAAATGTTTTATTACTTTTTCAATATTCATGGGTTGGGTTGATGTACCATTCAAACAAAGTTCACGTACCATCCCCCGTAATTAACTTGTCAATTGTCGTTATA